AGAAGCAACTTAGAACTGAGGAAAAATTTCCTGACAGTTAGAACAAGTAACCAGTGAATCAATTTTCCTCCAGAAGTTGTGAGTGCTCCAATACTGGGTTTTTTTAAAGAAGAGGTTGGATAACCATTTTGTCTGAAGTGGTATAGAGTTTCCTGCCTAAGCAGGGGGTTGGACTAGAAGACCTCCAAGGTCCCTTCCAACTCTCCTATTCCATTTGTTTTTTTCCTGCAATGGACACTCTCCCTCTTTTGAGCCTGCTTGCCAGCCATCACCCTTTGCAGGCTTCCTACGACCCAAAGTTTGTTTTTTTCCACAGCAGGTCTGGCTTCAAAAAACGGCCTCTTGCACGGCTTTTGTACGGCTGCAGCCAGCGTCAAGAGGCAGGGTGGAGGCCGAGGGCGCAACGTGGCAGGAACCGGCCCGTCTTCAGGTGAGCGAAGGCTGTCTAATCCTCGCCTCTTCCAGATCTGGCGGCGCGGCTCCCTCTGGCGGCGCGTCCGAGAACTGCTACCCGGGGAACCCAGATTGACAGACTCCGACGGGGAAGTGTGGCCAGATCCGGCCCGCAAAGCTGCGGACCGCCTCTAGATGGCAGCAAAACCCTGCAGTGAACTCATCTGAGCTCCCTGAAGTAAGCAGATCGGCGCCCCGCCTCTGCTCTCCCTGCGGGATTCAAGGAACCACATGCCCAGATCTGAAGGGCGCTGGAGGAATCGTCACGCCGCTCTACTTCGGGCATGGAGCCAGCGTTCACACGATCCGCGAAGGGGGCTGGTTGTCCCCGTGCAAACCCGAACAACCAAGCAACCCCGGAGGCGCAAAGGCAAGCGGGCGAGGGCCAGGGGGTGGAAGGGGACGTTTAACCGGGACGAGCCCCGGCAAGGCAAGAAGAATCGGAGCGGCGGATGGCGAGAAACGGGGCTCGATCTTGCACGGTAGAGGGATCCACTGGGATCAACCGAGGAAATTGGCGCGAGGTAGTTAGGACCACCTTCCCCCGAAGTTTCTTCACAATCCGGAAGTGAGGCTTCACAGGGCGCCTGTGGCTTTCCGACGCGCGAGAGGGTTAAGAGGATAAGCCGGGAATCTCTTCCGACCACTCTGATCCTCTCGCCCAGGGCGGAGGGGTGGAGCGATCCCGTTAAAGGGATCGCTTCGGGGTGAGAGAGAATCCGGGGACCCCCGCCGCGAGCAAGCGACAGTCAGGTGCATCTCGATACAGCAGAGAGCTTCCAACCCTACCCCCACCCCCCGGTTGGATTTTACTACCTGTTGCAATTGCACACGTGTTTTAAGGTGCGTGTCCAAAGATTTTAGTCGGGTGGGGTCGGGGGAGGAGGCACGTTTTGCAAACGGAAGAATCGGTGGAGCAGAGGGTTGGTTTGGGGCATTGAATGACCCGAGTAAGGATCTGATAATCCGGCCAGGTCAAAGATTACAAAGAAGTAATCTTTGTGTCTATGGAGATTCTCAGGCATCCAGGCCATGGTTGCCCCAAAGTGGCTTTTTTTTTTCAAAACACAACTGGACTTCCTTGTTTTTTTTCTTTGAAGACCTTTCGCTTCTCATCAGCACTTAGCAATAACACATAGGCATATACCACTGTGCAGTACTTTTACAGCCCCTCTGTAAGCGGTTTACAGAGTCAGCACATTGCCCTCAAACAATTTGAGTCCTCATTTTACCCACCTTGGGAGATGGAAAGCTGAGTCAATGTTGAGCCGCTGAGATTTGAACTGCTGAACTGCAGCTAGCAGTCCGCTGAAGTAGCCTGCAGTACTGCCCTCTAACCACTGCGCCACCTCAGCTCTTGATTAACCTTTTTAATTAACCCGTTTCTATCATCTAGATGGGGGAGAAGTAGTGCAAAGCTTCTAACTCTTCCCTGCACGGGGAGAAGGTGGAAAGGCCAAAAGCTCATCCAAGGAGAAGCCCCTCCCTGTGCTTCCCCTTGGGAGGTGGAGCTTCTGAGCCAGGTGTGCTCTAATCTCCTGCCCTTTGCTCTGGGTGGAAGGGCCAAAGGCCAAGAGGAAGGTAAGGAGGAAGGAGTTGCAGCGGATGAGAAATACTCTCCCCCCCATCTCTCCAGGAAATGGCTCCCCCCTTTGCCAAACTGGGAGTAATAGGAATGGAGTTTCAATGGCAAAGGGCTTCCTCCTCCTTCGGCCTTTCTTGGTCTGCTCAAGTTTGCTGTAAATCTGTTTTGCAAACCGCACACCAAAGCAACTGAGTGGAGTTTGTGGCATCTCTGTGGCCAAGGCTGGATTGGAAAGGGGACATTGCTAGGCTAAAGGGACCAGAAGCATGACTCAACAGCTGGTTCTTTCTGTTTCTGAATCGGGGCAGGGCTGAGAACAGAAAGGCTGTATTCTTAAGGATAGAAGTACGTACCTGTCAGGTGGCTCTAGCGGTTTGTTCCAGGCCAGCTGGAAACCGGATTGGTGACCTGTTGATTTGGAAGGTTCTGGGGGTTTGGTCTGCAAAGAAGTATTGGTTGGGTGTCACCAACCCTGATGTGACTGGAAGGCTTTCTGGTATTTTAATGCACTTGATTGTGTAAGCTATGCCATATTTGTGGGGAAATGTGCCTGATTCATTTTTAAACTGGTCTTCTCTTTAAAATAAGACAGCGTCATGCTCCTCTCCTTTTTTCTGTCTCTGTATCTCTCTGTTTCTGTCTCACTCACTCTCTCTCTCTCTCTCTCTCTCTCTCTCTGTCTCTCTCTCACATATACACAACACATTCACTTTTTATCCTTATCAGTTTTGTAAACATTGGAAGAAAGTTCCATATGGGATGTGTCCATGCATGTAAGCGAACTGACCCTAGATAATTCCTTCCCTCTATTGATCTTTTCCTTTAAGCCTCTTATAAACGCATCACCATCTGCCTCCTTTCTTGGTGATCCAAGCGGGACTTCCTTGTTGTGCTCTCCAAAGAAAATGAAAGTGTCAGGGAAGAGGAACAAAGATGATTAGGGAACTGGAGGCTAAAACATATGAACAACAGTTGCAGGAACTGGATATGTCTACTTGAATGAAAAGAAGGACTAGGGGAGACATGATAGCAGTCTTCCAATATCTCGGGTTGCCACAAAGAAGAGG